AATCTTAGATCGGAGGTCCGCCGACTCTTTAATAGAGCTAAATCCAGTGCCGAATGGCAGCTCTACAGCGAGAAATTAACTGAGTATAATGAGATAAGAAGAGCAAAGCGGTCTGACTTTAGATCCTTTTGCGAAAACATCACTTCTACTCCTGATGCAGCTAGATTACATAAAGCTATGGCCAAGAGTGGATCTATCCTCAACATGGCACTTAAGAAATCTGACGGAAGCTACACGGAGGGAGAGGAAGAGAGAGCAAATCTCCTACTTTATATACACTTTCCAGGTAGCATACCTATTGATACTCATGTAGCTCCCACTGAACCCCACAATCCTTGCAGGGAAGATTGGGAAGTGGCCAAGCTAGTAATAACAGAACAAAAACTGAAATGGGCGATCGACACCTTTCAGCCCTATAAAGCAGCAGGAGTAGATGGGACCTTTCCTGCCCTTCTAAAGGAAGGTCAGCAAATAGCTACTCACCATCTACTAAGCATTACAAGAAGCAGTCTAGCGATGGGATATATACCAACCACATGGAGAAGAGCAAAAGTAATCTTCATACCCAAAATAGACAAAACTGACTGGACAAATCCCAAGTCATTTAGGCCTATTAGTCTCACATCGTTCATACTAAAAACGCTGGAGAAAGTAGTTGACAACCATATTGGAGAAAATCATCTAAAGGTTAAACCACTGCATGATAGTCAGCATGCATATAGAACGGGCAGATCCACAGAAACTGCTCTGTACCAATTAACGGAGCTAATACAGACAAGTCTGGATAGCAAAGAAACAGCAATTTGTGCCTTCTTGGATATTGCGGGGGCGTTTGACAATATACCACATAAGGTGGTCAGGCGATCTCTAGAAACAAGAGGGGTGAACAGAACTATTATTCGCTGGTTTTGGGAAATGCTGTCAACACGAACAGCAGAGGCTCAGATGGGCACCAAAACTGTAGCTGTTAAAACAACGCAAGGAACTCCACAAGGTGGAGTAACCTCCCCTTTGCTGTGGAGCTTGGTGGTGGATGAACTACTAGATGAATTAACTCTAGCGGGAATACACTGCATTGGGTATGCAGATGACATAGTCATGATCGCTCGGGGGAAACATGAAGGCACCTTGTGTGATATTATCCAAAGAGGACTCCGTATCACTGAGAGATGGTGTAGGACTGTCGGGCTGAGTATCAACTCAGACAAAACCGCGATAGTGCCATTCACCAGAAGGCGAAGTCTGAAAAACTTGAAAAGAATCCAACTAGATGGAAAGGAAATACTGCCAACACAGGAAGTTAAATACCTGGGAATAACCCTGGACAGTAAACTCCTGTGGAACAGGCATATTAAGAACACTACCAGCAAAGCCATAAAGGCTCTCATGATATGCAGAAGACTGGCCGGAAATAGATGGGGCTGCTCCCCTAACATTTTGCGCTGGATGTATACCATGATAGTAAGACCCATGATTACTTATGGAGCAGTTGCCTGGTACACAAAACTAGAGCAACGGACGGCAAGGCTAAACCTATGCAAAGTCCAGAGACTAGCATGTGTTTACATCACAGGAGCCATGAGAACCTGTCCAACAGCAGCAATGGAGGTCATTCTAGATCTACCACTGCACATTGTCATTGGTAGATATGCCAATGCGACAATGATTAGAATGGTCACTAACGGAATTAGTACTGGGAGAATTGTCAGATCAGGGGCTTGGAACACCCTCAAAAAGGAAATACCACTCCTGCAACTCCCAGTGGACGATATGCCAAGAACGTACAACTTTGACAAACATGTCAATGTAGTATTGAGCAATAAGAAGGATTGGAAGAGCGAAACGCTTGCCCAGCAGTTAAAAGACCATACCATAACTTGGTATTCTGATGCTTCCAAAACCAATACGGGAACAGGGATCGGAGTGTTTGGGCCGAGAGCTAATTACTCCGAACCAATGGGCACTTACCCTAGTATCCAACAGGCAGAAATCTACGCTATCGAGAGATGCGTACAACTTATCTTAGATAGGAACTATCGGAAACAAGAAATAGCCATCTTGTCGATAGTCAAGCAGCGTTAAAGGCGATCAACTCAGTATCAATCAATTCGAAATTGGTCAAAGAATGCATAGAGAAGCTGAATAAATTAGGCAAAGAAAACAAAGTCCTCCTACACTGGGTGCCTGCTCACCAAGGGATAGAAGGCAATGAAAAAGCAAATAATCTAGCTAGGAAAGCAGCGAACACTCCACTAACTGAACCAGAACCGTTCTGCTTTCCAAGTGGTAACCAACTCAAGGCGGAACTCAAGAACTTGGAAGATTCCATCCGCAACCTGGAATGGAAATTTTCCAATGGTCTAAGACACTCGAAGAAGTTTCTGAGGGCTTATGATGAAGAAAAATCACAGATCTTCCTGGGTCTGAGTAAGAACAATCTTCGGATTGTCACGGGGTTTTTAACAGGACACTGTCTCCTCAACGAACACCTCAGTAGATTGAAACTAAGAAGAAACGGCGAATGCAGATTCTGTGGGGAAGATGGGGAAACACCAGTACACCTCATCACTGAGTGCGCCGAGATGACAACCATTCGTGCCATGAATTTTGGTACGACTGATATTGGAGATGGAGAACTACCCTCTATAAAACCGTCCCAGATACTGGCTTTTGTCAAAGCCCTGGGACTGTATGATGAGTTATGATTCAAGAAAGGGGGGACACAATGGATCTGTAAGGTCGAAGTGATTAACCCCCTCCCACTCATTCTAAATTCTAAAAATTCTAAGTTCATCTCATCTCTCTTAAAATTGCTACTTCTCAAAATTTCCCATTAAAAAATTGACCATATACCATATAAAATTAAATAATTGAAAGATCGGACTACGAAAAACCACACAAATTTTCGGAAAAATTTTGACCACCTGCACATGCACACAATCGTCAATAAATAAAATTAAAAAAAAACTACTATTTTAGTATTTTAAATATTTTAATAAACGCAAAAATAGCACAGTATTTATACGGCGAAGTTATAAAAATTTGGAAGAACTAATAATGCACTGATGCACACAAAAATCAAACGAATACTAAATTTCATTTACGAAAAGCATTCGATAGTCGTGGCTCAACGATAACCATTTAGTCGCACTGCGAGGTTGTCACATATGCTTTAGTATACAAATGAATGAATGATTTTATTCGAATAAAACCATTCGATAGTTGAAATCATTCATTCAGTAAACCATTCGATAGTATAATTCATTCGATAGTTCCCATCGCTAATGTAAACGTTTTTACATCATTTAAAAGACCAATTGCATTATAACATAATTTAATACATTTTAGTTGACAAAAAAAGCACTTAGTTTTAACTTGCTTCCGTAGCCTGCTGTATTACCCGTTTTAAAGTATAACGACATTTTTTTTTGAAAAACTAGTCAAATAAAAACTTTTATTAACATTATATTTACAAAATGTATAATTTTATTAACATTTACAAAATAATAATTTTATATAAAATATATAACTTTTGACTTTTTGTAGTAGGTATGTGTGTACTAATTGTAAAAATATTTTATGCAAACATAAATATTATTTTCTCTATTTGTAACTTGTAACTTGTACGAAGTGATCAACAATTATTATTGAAATAGTTGACCGTTCTGATTTTACTCGCTTGGTTGGGAATAAATTTAAAAAGCATTTTTATTTTATCAAACAGTATTCCTTAACGCGCTATGCAAGCCGGCCCTGTAAAAAATCTCAACCGCCTACCTCAACGGCTCTATGGCTGGCCGGCCAATCAGGCTAGATTTCGCCGCTGGCTCTCGCCTGGCACGTGCTGATCACGCACTGTGCATTTGTTTATACTAGTGCATTTTGAATTTGAATACAGTTTAGGTATTACCAAAAAAAAAACACGCCGTAGGCGTGCTTTTATTGCATTGTTTAATCTCTTGGGCAAATTTCTTTAGATTGCACGCGAAATACGACGCGTCGAATAAGGTTGAGATTCGTAAATACGCCACCGGGAAAATTACAGTTTATTCTTTATTGCCGAATTATGAGTTTGGAGATTTCCCAGTATACTATTATACCTATAGATTTGGCTACTGATTTACCGTTTTGAATTGCAAATTGCAGTATGTAATGTTTGTAGTTATTTTACAGTATAAATATGTACAGAATGAATTATAACGTGTGCTGAATACCTATTCTCGATTTTTTTTCTTCTTTTTGTTCTAACTTTCTGTTCTACCGTAGACAAACGGCCAGTCTCTCTACAGGTGATATATGCAGCGTCGAAATCTTGTATTTTGGAGCTGAATATCTTCCTGGACAATATCAAGTAGCTCATTAAACTTGCTAGATGACATACGAAAGTACTGAAAAAAACCTCTGTTCATCGAGCAGCAATTTACCGAATAATGTTGAAAATTCGCCTTCCACATCTCTGCTTTTGTTAATTGGTTGAATCCAATATCGCACGCGCCTTTTTCTTTGTCGCTTTTCTTCTTCTTCAAACAGAAGAGCCAAAAAAAAGACCTCTTCCATAGAACTCATTTTTACTATATATACAAAAGTGACCGTGAGCAGAACTGTTGCAACTACGAAATGCGACTAATTTTTGTTTAAATTGAGCCCAGCTCAGCTTAGATCGGCCAAGACCGCGACCGCCTAGTGCGTTCCTTCCCTAAATGTTCTCAAAATTCTCATTTTTTTTTGATAAAACAAGAAACGAGAAAATTCAGAATAAAATGTAAAAATCTAACTGACTGATTGTTCAATATTTTTTTGCGCTTATTATAAATTTACGATATTTGCCTGCTTATTCTCGTTCGTTTTCCAGAAATATATTCTTGGACATTTTACATTATACAGCCTATAGTACTATACAGGATATCAAATGTAGAAACTAGGAATAGTAACATAATAAACACTATAGCAATGCAAAATTAAATCTTCTATGATCACATACGGTAATTTAATATTTATAGGAACAAGACGACAGAGAGCGAGAAACAAGAGAACGAGAACGTGATCGCGAAAAGGATAGAGACCGGGACAAGTCTGAAAAGGAAAAGAAGTATCGTGATCGGGACAGGTCCAGATCTCGACGGTCAAGGTCCCGTTCGAGGGGACGTAGGAGGTCATCGAGCAGGACGAAGAGAACCAGCAGAAGTAACGACCGAACGTCTAGAAGTAAAGATCGTCGCTCGAAAAGCAAGGACAACGTCGTCCGGAGCAAGGATCGAAATTCGAGCAGTAAGGAGAGGAAGTCGAGGAGCAAGGATTCGCGCAGTCGGGACCGCAAATCCAGAAGTCGGGACAGTTGGGGCAACAGAGATGGCCGCAACAGAAGATCCGTGAGCAGGGACAGAAAGTCGAGAAGCAGAAGTAACAATTCTAGGAGTCGGTCCAGGTCGCCGAAGAACCGCACTTCAAGGAACGGCAACGCTAGTCCTAGCGAACGCGAGAATGGCACAGGCGATTCGAAGCTCGATGGATCGAAAGCTAAGTATGTAGAGAATTTTTTTAAGCGTTTTAAGATTTATTAATATTTTATAAGATCAGTTTGCGTCCAAATAGCCAATTAAAATAAAGTAGGAAGACAAGCTAATAAGAGATCAATGATTTGAACATGCGTATTATGCTAAAGCTGCAGTAATTATTGAGATTGATTGTTTATTGCAGATTTAAGCTTCATTCAGAACCTCGCAATTAGTGGAATAAATTAGTGGTTTCAATTACACTTTATACTTTTTAGGGTGCTGCAACGACCTCCCGGTAATCCTGCAGTTAAAACATAACTGGTTTTTATATATAAAAACCAATTGTTTTGTTTTAACAGCAGGATGACCGGACGTCGTTGCAGCCACCCTTAGTTTACCATCATTTACAATGTTTAAAAAACACAATTAAAATTAATAGAATATCCTGGCAACAGTGCCACGCCCTTTCCTAATTTGAAGTTCAATAAAACACAAGTTTACTTAATGCAGAATGAGTTACATAGAGGCCACTAGCTTTTTAATTTTAACAGCCGGGTGGTCGGGGTTCAAAGATATTATTAAAAGGGCGCCACGAGATTATACTCTATGAACTTGGCATAAAAGATGTTACTATTAAGTAGACTTCAACACTAACCTCGAACTGTTGAGTGTAACTACCATGAACTTCAAATATACTATAATTACTTGAACTTAAGTGACTCTAACTTAACTATGAGACTGTAAACAATACTACTAAAAATGATTAAGCAATTTATTAAATATCAAAAAGTTAATATATATATATATATATATATATATATATATATATATATATATATATATATATATATATATATATATATATATATATATATATATATATATATATATATATATATATATATATATATATATATATATAATATAAAATGAAATGTAGAAGATTGAAAATATGTTAAAAAATTTAAATCCAAAGGTTGGAAGAGAAAATAGAATTTTAAATTAAATGTAATAACTAAACCTATGACGTCAAACCTCCTTATCTAACTTAATACTAGATACAATCAGGATGGTTTATACCCATAAATCAAATCTAAAATTATACAAATATCCAAACAGTCTTACTCTACTCGATGTGATATACTTGAAAATTTCTGAAACTTCCTCCGGTTGAGCTACGGTGTATAGCTAATGGTGGCTACAGCTCGGTGTACTGTCACTGGAGCCCACGTATGTCAGCAGATGTACAGATGAAAGGCAAGTTGGTGAGGTTTCAATTGGTGAACATAAAAACCCTAAATAATATTGGTTGTCTTAGAAAAGAGCCTCAATTATAGAACAAGGACTAGCACAACGTGTATGAGTTAATAAAGGTAATAAAGAAGGACTAATCAAATCTGAACTTTACCTCAACGAGGGTTTATGATGTCCAACAGGTAACTCTACACACGGGCAACAGGAACGGATGGAATTCTGGACTGTTCTGTGCTGTACGGTCTGGATCGGTCTTCTTGCTCTACAATTATGAACAACCAAATAAGACTTAAGAAAGATAACACTCAACTAATCTTTCTACACCACGTGGGCGTGGAAAAGTCGAAAACCAGTCAACAATACGAATAAAAATCAGTTGAGCATTGACTTAGAATATGCAGAAGAATTATAGCATACCTTGGAACTATTCGGGGACTTCTTGGGCACGTGGAATCGGGATATCGGTCGGAAAAAGTTGGCTATTTAATCTCTTACGGAAATTGGTCGGCGGTCCATAAAAATCATGAAAATCCAACCACGTCTCTGACCAAATGTGTTTCGGAAGCCTTAATCCTTCTTTACGAAGACCAGCTATTCACCAACAGGGAATGCTTCACGAAACGACAGCCAGTTCTTCACGACGATATTCTGACGGTGGATACACAAGAAGTGATGCAAGGATTCGATTTCCTTCACAAAATCAGATTTCAACCGGAAATCTCCCTCCAGGATATAGATAGAGAACTATATATCTTGACGAGTCCAACTCACAAAAAGGCATAAATAAAAAACGATGTTCTAGAATATTTTCTCCTCAGCCATATTCTATATCCGGTCAATGAACGAACTTAACTGACAAATTCCCACAATTAAATGAACGAATTACACACTGCGATCCACATCAAAAATAACCAATTTAACTACGAAATTTTATCTGGTAATTATAAAATTTCAATAACCAAAACAAACGATAAATAAGTCCAAAAACATCTGATTTGATCTGACAGTGACAAGTGACGAACAGGTGATGATCAAAGATATAGAGAGATGGACAAAAAGCCTACTGCTGGTCGGCATCAGTGACAATAATGTGTAGCTGAATAATATCGCGGTGTATATCGGGTTGCATAATTGTAAAATTTAAATAAAATAATATTTAACAATAAAATTCCTGACAGGCAGTCCGAATAGCGCAAGCAATCTGCGGAATATTTTGATCCCAACGACGATGATTTTCATGCGTGTAAATGGAAAGCATAGTCTTCAAGGTCTTATTCTGTCGTTCGGTCGGATTCGCTCTAGGGTGGTAGTTTGCGTTGAACTTAATTCGGCACTGGTACTGGTCTGTAAACTTTCTGAATTCCTTGCTACGATACTGAATACCATTGTCACACAATAGTACTGGTGGAACACCAAACACTAAGAAAACTTGTTCCTCAATCCTGTTAATAATAAGCTGCGTCGACGCTCGACGAAGTGGAAAAATAAGTGAAAACTTGCTGAGGTAATCTGTCACTACAAGAATGAAGGTATTACCTTTGTATGATCTCGGTAATGGTCCTACCAGGTCTGTCAAGATCATCTCCCACGGACGGCTAGGTTTCGAATGTGATACCATCTGATCACTTGGGCCTCGAGGATCATCTTTGTGTGTTCCACGCTTCAAGCACGACTTTACGTAAGATCCAACATCTTGACGCATCTTCGGCCAGTAATACTTCTCACAAAGTCTGTTGTACGTCTTATATACACCCATATGTCCTGAAATCGGTGGATCATGAGCATCTCGGATTATCTGCAATCTGTTCTCCTTCGGCACGACTTCTTTCCAAGTGTCACCTGACAAAGTTGGATAGTCTTGCTTGACATACTTGAATAACTTCCCATCAGTATACCTCCACTTGAAAAACTTCAAAGGTTCTTGGCACACATTTGCTACCATCTTATTGTACCATTTATCTTTGACGTTTGGACGGGTTGAATCGTCTCTGGATGGTTCTATGGCGTCAATCACCGGTACTGCTCTAGAAAGCATGTCTGGCACGACAAGATCTTTCCCACTACGATGTATGACCTTGAAGTCATATTGCTGTAGCTTGACCGCCCACCGTGCTAACCTACCACTCGATTCTTTCAGAGTGTGTAGCCATTTCAAGCTAAAATGATCTGTGATCACGGTGAATGGTACAGCTTCCAAGTATGGTCGTAGCTTCTCTATCGCATATACTAATGCCAAACATTCTCTCTATCTGTCGTGGAGTATACTCTCTCTTGCTTTGTCAGCGATCGGCTCAGGTAACAAATTACTTTCTCTTCTTCAGGTGACGGCTGTGTGAGTACGGCGGCAATGCCATACCCAGATGCATCAGTCTGTAGGACAAATTCTTTGGTATAGTCAGGACAGCTCAAAATAGGTGCAGCTACTAACGATTCTTTTGTCTTCATAAAAGACTTCTGGCACTCATCTGTCCACACAAATTTCTGATTTTTCTTCGTTAGTGCTGTAATAGGTGCTACAATCGACGAAAATTCAGGCACAAATCTTCGATATCGCGAAAATGATCCTACTACTCGACGTACTTCGGTTGCACTCTTCGGTCGTGGCAACTTCAACATGGCTTTGACCTTATCCGGATCGACTCTTAAACCACGCTGATCCACTACATATCCTTAAACAGCTTGCGTTAGTCAGTTGTATCCATAGAGAAAACCTAATATTTAGCTTATAAAACAATCAACTTTTGATTTCTAACCACAATTTCTCTTGACGGAAGGTAACCGAAGGTCAAAATGACATTTCTCGCAAATTAGTCTCGCAAAGTATAATTAGTGGAAAACTTAAAAGTTTACCAATTTTTTTTACTAATTGAAAATGTCTATCACTAATTTTGACGTTGTGAATGCTTACATTGAAATTAAAGGAACAAACTTCTACGCTATAGTGATGGGTTGTTATTTAACTATCTGTTATTTTATAACAATTATTTATAAATAACATAATGCAACCGTTACTACTTCTAAAAAATAACAGATATAAAATAACGACACGTAGAGATCGGCCGCTCGTGAAACGAAAAACGAAGTCGGCGCTCTGCACCGTCACGAAATTCTATGCTGCGCCGAAGCAATTTCAAAAAACAACTAGTATGGATGGAAAACATGTTATTTCGTCAACCATCGATACAGGCGGCGAGACAACGGACAACGGAGTGGGGAATGCGCTACGGCGAACGTAGCTACTTCGGTCGATACCGTCTATGGTCGTATTGGGTTTGCAACAGCTTAAAAATAATAGGATATAAAAGAAGCAGGTTTTTTGAAACAGTTGCGGGCATAACGCCTGGCTGTCGAGATAACAGGAGTGGGAAAGGAACGCTGCTGCATCGGTCGATTGTCGATGGAGGCTCGCAACGGGTTGGAGAAGCAGTCATTTTAGATACGTTGTTTTTCAACCTGTTGCGAGCATAACAGGGCGGTGGTCGAGATAATCGGAGTGGGAAAGGAACGCCGCTGCATCGGTCGATTGTCTATGGAGGTTCGAAACAGTTTGGAGAATAACGCATCAGTTGTTTTAGATAGTACATAAATTTTCAACCTGTTACGAGCATAACGGGCGGAGGTCGAGATATTATGGCGCTGTATGTTTCAGTACTTACTTATTAAGTTTCAATATTTAGGTATTTATTTATTCTGAAAAATTTTCAGAATAATATTTTAAGATTTTTTAAAAATGTATACAGGGTGTTTTGAAAAATCTGGTCATTGATTAATCACGATCCTGCTTAAAGCCCTTGACGTAAAAAGCTGATTTTTGGAAAACGGATTGACTTTAGGGTGTAGAGGTTCGATAAGAAGGGATTTTTCGAAACTCGAATTCTAAGGGCGTGAAACTACCCTCAAATATTAGAATATTTTTTATTTAAAAACCGGTGAGTTTTTCGGAAAAACTCTTAAAACACGTATATTTTATTATGTTGTTTTACATATTTTTAGATTTTAAAAAAAAATATACAGGGTGTTTCATAAAATATGACCATTGAGTAATCACTATTCTGCTTAAACTGCTTGACGTTTAAAGCTGATTTTTGCCAAACTGATTGACTGTGGGGTTGAGGTTCGATAAGGAGGGGTTTCTCGAATCTCAAATTCCAACAGGGTGAAAACGCCCCTCAAATATTACAATATTTGTTATTTAAAAAACGGTTAGTCTTTCGGGAAAACGCCTGGACACGCATAATTTATTTTGTTTTCTTACATATTTTGAATTTTTTTCAAAAATCATCCAGGCTGTTCCAAAAAGTTGAGTAATTGATTAACCACGATTCTGCTTAAACTGCTCGACGTTTAAAGCTTATTTTTGGCACATGTGAGAAAATTTTATCCAGTCTGTATGTTAATGGAAATTCTTGTTTTGCTTTATCATCACCATTAGAAATTATTAATTTTGACGCGAACGAAGTCGCGGGTACATGCTAGTTTAAGTGTAAAATAAATTCGAAGTCTAGTGTGTAGTTGGTTTACTTATGAAGAATAAACTACACATTTTCTTATATTGCTATTTTTTGACCGCAAATGGTAAAATCATAACTAAGAGCTTCTCGCCCGTCGAGTGAGATGCACCCTGTACACTGCTACTCAATACAGGATCTACGCGGATCGAGGGGCAGGGCGTAGGTAGATCGGAATGTATAGGTATAGACGAGTGGCGGCTTTTTTTATATCGCAATTTGTAAACAGCGCTTATTTGTAAACAACCACCGTTTTTAGAGAGGCATTTTAGATAACAATCGATATTTAGAAATGTTTTGACACCCTGGAAATACTACCACCGAGCACGTCATTGTTGCAACTTGCAACTGCGTTAATACGCCTGGCGGTGACCGCCTCATACTCTTTCAGATATTTAGCAGTAAAATAAAGAAACCTGTTATATTTAAGCTGTTTTTTATAAATAACTATAACAGTTTCAACTGTTATCTAAAAATAACAGTTTTGCCCATCACTACTACGCTAGTTGAAACCATTAATTTATTCCACTAATTGCGAGGTTCTGAATGAAGCTTTACAGTTTACGGCTATTATTTACTGTTTTGTCTGTATACTAACTTTATGTAAAAGATTTAGATCAAGTCCAACTTTAAAATAAAACAAATCGTAATAAGTTATTATAAGTTAACATCTCCTTTATGCTGCCAGGTTTAATCTGGACGATCTACCGATTTAGCGACTTTCTAAATTATTTAAAAAATGGCAAGATAAGGAACTTGCTTATATCATTTTATTTGTTTGTTTCAATACATTTTAACATTTTTTATATTATCTATTACATAGTTTTATTGATAATTGAAAGGATACGATTAAATCAAAATATTATTAACAGCTATGTTATGTGCATATTGATATATATGCAAATCTGAAATAACTCTTTGCTTTGAGAGTAAATTTTCAATCAAATTGAATTGTTATTTGTAGGGTATTTGGTCATAGGGTATTTATTGAAATTATGAAATCTTATTATATAATTATAATTCAGTTTTATGCATGCTTTATTATACTAATTATGAACATTTTATCTACACTGATTTTTTTCTGTAGATATAAAATTTGTGGTAAGTACAATATAAAAACGTTAAGTTGGAATGATTTTTTGGCTTAATCGAAATTGTAACTTTATTTTTCTGGTTTTATTATATATACAATGTTTATAGACACGTGACTTATTATGTAAGATTAGGTTTATAGATACGAAATTGCTTTTATAACTTTATAGTGAAGCGCCAGCAGGCCAACCAATCTCAAAGTTGCAAGCCAAGCTGATGTCATTGGCGGAGCATAACAGGTCGTCCAGGTCTCGGTCTCGTTCCAGGTCAAGGAGCCAGACAAAGTCCAGGACATCGAGCCCAGTATCTTTTAAAGGCAAATCAAGGTCGCCGTCGAAGTCGAAGCCCAAAGACAAGAGGAAGTCTCGTTCCAGTTCCAGGGATTCAAAAGACAACTTAGAACTGAAGAAGAAAGGGGACAGCGTGCAAAAGAAGCGGCACTATAGGTCGAACAAGGACAGCAGCGACAGCGAATCGGAAGGACGAAAGAAGCGATCAAGGTCACGCAAGCGCAGCAGGGATCCAAGTCCGAGGAGGAGGAGCTTATCGCGCTCTAAGAGATCAACAAGTAGAAAACGAAGCTTGTCGAGAAGGTGCGGTAACGTTTACTGATTTTTATTATCTAAACCGGTTTTAAAGCAATCTGCCTGTAAGGGGCGGTTTATTGAACGCTTCTATCAGAGTGTCTACTATTTATTTTTGATTTTAGTACAAGCGAAATATCAGTAGTTTCAATCTATTTTACATTTACATCTAATTGTTTGATGCAGATACTTATATTTTATTTTCGAGATTATTAAACTATAATTATACTAAAGTAATTTTGAATGCAGCAATAGCTACGTGTTTTATGTTAAGAGTAATAAATTTATATTATTTACTGGTTGAGAATATTCTTCAAAAGATACAGATATATTAAAAGGCACAATAAGATTAGAATAAGGAGTCAAACCCAAAATTTCGCCTTTCCAGCGTTTTGTTAATCTGATTTATGTATAAGCAAATAACATTTTGTAGGGGAACTAGAAATTTTATATGCAAACCTAAATTTTTCAGAAACATTAATTCATTCACTGTATATTCAAGAAAATGTATAAGAAAATAAAGTAATGAGCTTATAGATAAGATCTTCTAAAAGAAATGCAACATAAATTTATTAAAAAAATACATTAACTCTTTGACATTTTGTATATTGCTTGTGGCGTTTTAAACACAAGTTTAAAATCATAAGAATTCAATTTCACAAGTTGTTTTATGGATAAGCTCTAATTGTAGTATTTAGTAGTACATATAGTTTTATCCTTTACTTGTGCTTGTTTACATTTTACTCAAAGGGTGAAATAAAACACGTTAGGTTTCTATCCCTTCCATATTAGTAAATTTTGAATATACCGATTTGGTCATTTTAGAAGTGTGGTCTGGATTTTAACGCGTAAGACAGTTATGTAGGCAGCTTAATGGAAAATCAAATGTATTAAAAAGAGATAAAGTTGGGTTGATACATTTCTTCTATGCGGTATTGCCGGATTTTGCATCAAAAGTTCAAACCGTACAAGGAGACGGGGATGGAAAATGTTGCATCTAGCGTTGGAACTTATTTTTCACAATTAGTTATTCATTTTACTACAGATGTAATAGATTATATGTGGCTTAGATATACAGGGTGGCGCACCTTATTCGCCTTGGTTGATTATACGAAAACCGAAAGATGTAGAAACAAAATATTTTATGAATATATGCGAGAAGGCAATGTGCACAATTTAAAATTATTTTGAAGTATACAGGGTGTTTCAGAACTAAGATCCATACAAAAGTTATATTTTTTCTTATGGAACACCCGGTATTTTATTTCATTTTTGGATTCCTGGGCCCAAAAAAAGGCATTCATTATAAGGGTTAATTATGTTTAAAATCATTGGTTTTTGAGATATTTAAAGATATTTAAATTTGCATGCTACTATAGAATATATTATTAACACCCTGTACATTAGTTTTCAGAATTAATTCTTGTGCTGAAATTAAAGGTAGAGAAATAAACTTTACTGGAAAATGTTATTGCTTCCTTAAATTTATACACGGGTATCAAAAATTGCTGATCTTTTTTAAGGATTTATTTTACATAAAAACTTCGTTATTTCAAATACAACACCCTGTATTTTTTATAATAAATCGAAGCAGATTCAAATGCTCTTTCAAACTATATTAGGGTTTCCTATACCTATCTAGCTCAGATTTTGAATAAAGAGCAATTTTTCAATAAAATGGCAACTGAACAGTTGAAATAACGAACTTTTTATATAAAATAAATCCTTAAAATAGATCAGCAATTTTTGATACCTCTGTATAAATTTAAGGAAGCAATGCTAGTTTTCAGTAAAGTTTATTTCTTTACCTTTAAACTCAGCACAAGAATTAATTCTGAAAAGTAATGTACAGGGTGTTAATAATCTATTCTATTGTAGCATGTAAATTTAAATATCTTTAAATATCTCAAAAATCAAAGATTTTAAACATATTTAACCCTTATAAATAAATGACTTTTTTTGGGCCCAAGAATCCAAAAATGAAATAAAATACCGGATGTTCCATAAGAAAAAATAGAACTTTGATATGGATCTTAGTTCTGAAACACCCTGTATATTTCAAAATAATTTTAAATTGTGCACATTGCCTCCACACAAAAAATTGGCGTATTCATTTAAAATAAGTAAGTTGTTGTCAACTTCCGGTATTTTCGGAAGTGTCGTCATATTAGAAATATTTTTAATGGATAGATCTCGAATTATGTGCAAAAAATCTTGGAAATAGATATTGTAATTCTCTATAAACTTCTAATGCCCGCTCAGCATGGTACACTTTGTATATATAAGTCATTGATTTATTTTATGCTGAATTGATTTCACTTTTTTTTTCAATAACATAACGATAGAAAAATTACATTTGTTTGGATGGAATCACATGGACTTGGTATCTTATTAATTGTATAAATTATATTTATAGTTCGTTCAGCGAAAAAAAAACATCATTAGTGTGACACTTCAATTCAAGTTACATTGTTTTTTTAATTTTTTTCTGATTTTTTTTGGATACCGTCGGGAAATCATTTTGCTGCTGAATAGACATGATTAGATAATATGAAATTTTGATATACAGGGTGGTCTAAACTGTATTCTGGAAACTTCGGCACCATATTTTGCAGATAAAAATAAGTAAAAAAAGGTTCATATAAATGTAGGTACTAAATATACAGGGTGTAGAAGTTTCATTTTTATTTCCATTTTTTTCAAATAATTTCTGAAGTAACGTCAATATTTGGATGAAAATTGTTGTCTGGGAGTTTTTTTGATGTGAGAAATTTGATTTAGATGTCAATATGCCTCCTACTTGTAGAGGACGCCACCTACATATTTTTAAATGGTTTGAAGAGTAATAACTTTTCGTCCATACCTGTATAAATCTACTGAATAAAAAAGGTCCTACTTTGGTAAAAATAGCTACGACTAATGGTTCTTGAGATATTTGGAACCTAAATTACCTGTCACCATTGACATAAATTAAACATGTTGACTAAATAGTTATTAGACTGAAATCATAAATTTGAAATGTTTTTGTGCCAAAAGTTCAACAGAAACTGTTTTATCGTCATTTTTTTGAAGAAAAATTTATGATTAATTAAAAAAAATAAAGTTTCCAATTTTATCATTTTAGTCAAATAACTATCTACTCAACATGTTTATTTTTTATGTATTGACTATTTCCAATCTCAATATTTTCAGAACGGTTGCTCGTAGCGATTTTTACCAAGAGACATTTTTTACGTAAAAAATCACGGAAATGAAATTTTTTTAACTCAGTAGTTTTATACAGACAATGACGAAAATTTATTACTCTTCAAAACAGTTAAAACATATGTAGGTGGCGCCCCCTACAAGAAGGAGTCATATTGACATCAAAATCAAATTTTTCATGACAAAAAACTCCCAGAGACCAATTTTCATCCAAATATTGACAATACTTCAGAAATTATTTGGAAAAATCGAAATAAAAATGAAACTTCTACACCCTTTATCTCCGAAACTAACATTTTAGGACATGCATGTATACAGACTTTTTTACTTATTTTTATCTGCAGAATATGTTGCGAAATTTCCAGAATACAGTTCGTACCACCCTGTATATTCCATATATTCGGTATTTGAATTAATTTTATTGCGATAAAAATATTCTATACATACATTATTTATATTAGCTTTATTCGACTTTTTCTTATTACCGGTTCTAAACCGTCTAGTGTTAGGCTCATGCGCAAGAAGTCACTTATTCCGCGCATGCGTCTCACATTTATCGGACAGTTCAAAACCGGTGATATCAAAAACCCGAAGTAAGCGATTTATGTCGTTTTTAACTTAAAGATAAACAAAGGAGAGAAAATTACTTTAGGGTAGTGGCAAGTATAAATATTTATTTAGTTCCATAAGGGAAACTATGTTTTAAATTCTAAAACACTGTTTTTTTTTCAAATGGTTTTTAATTGTGCTAAATGTTAACTAAAAGTTCGATTTCGATATAGCACTCTTATGGTTGTGGGCTGAGTTGAGCATCACCAATCAATAAAGAGGCTGCCTTGACAATTCACCGACACCGTACAAAGTTCTCCTCTATAGGACTCCTCCGTGAGCAACGAAGTGTAAATCTGAACGAATCAGAGTAAGTTTTCATTTTTCTTATTATTTAGGATTGTCAGTGACATTTATGCAATCTAATAAAGTTTTCTTTTAACAGATTTTTTAGAAACGTCATAGCTGTAAGTAACAAGTTTATTGTAATTGCTTGTTTCTAAATTTTATAATCTTGATATTTTTTGTTTCTCACTAAATTTATAAATTAAACGAAATTTTTATTTTCATATTTTTTTTATTGTTTTACTTAATAGGTTTATATATTTTTAAAATATTCTATGCAGGGTTAGTCTTAAATGCAAATACAATATGATCGAAAAAAAAACGGCATCAGCGATGGCTGTGAAATGAAGGTCGCTATCATGTTATATGTAAAATTATATGGGGAATATAATTGATGTTCATTTCCAAGCCAACTAGACGCCGTTTTTTTCGATCATACGGTATTTTCAGAGCTGGTAGATCTCGATAAAAGAAACATATTTCCTCTTTACAGTTTTTCTGATAACTTTGAAGCATCCGATGTATTCGGAAGATTTTAGAAAATTAAAAAAAAATAATTTTTGGCGTAAATTTTGGTAACCATTTGATTTTTTTGTGTTTTTATTCTTTAAATTTAATCTACTATCTATATTGTCATATTATCAAGATATGATATTTATGTTTTTATATGGAGTCTCATCCAACTTGTGATAAATTGTAAAGAGAACTTTATTCTCTATATAAATATAGTCCAAGAAAATAGGCCTTATGATAGGAAGTGAAATTAAAATACATAAATGTAGTTAATCACTTATCTATTAAGAAATAATAACGGGTTATACATTGAGCAGAGAGTCTTTCAAAGTTAAACGCACGCCGGCGCCGCTTCGTTCACTTCTCTTGTCGCTATGCACTTTTTGGCACGTAGGCGC